CATGTTATACATATACCACATTTTATTAATCCACTCATGTATTGATAGGCTGTTGGGAAAACTCTTACAGACATAGACTTCAGGCAAAGAATTTATGAAGAAGCATAAGGAATTTTAAAGGGTCGTCATTATGCCTAGGAGAAAGAGTCAGTGGTTACAGATTAAAGAATTTTTGGAGGCTCAAACAAGTTTTAAGTTGTTCCAAAATTGCTATTCTCATTACTGACCAGTTCATTTTGACAAGAGTGGAGGCGTTAGTTTGTTTTGTTTTGTGTGGGTTAGGTAATTATTTATTTATCCTTTCCTTTATTCCTTCTTTTCTCTTAGAAATGTTAAGAGAAGCAAAAAAATCCATTAATTTGCTGGTAGATTCTTCTGATGAAAAATGATTCCCAAGAACATGAAAACTGCTGACCATACTTCTTGTTAGAGTTTGGATTTGACATTTGTAGATAATCAGCATATCCTGTGCAAGAGATAAGAGAATACATGGCTTTGTTAGATTTATATGAATTATCCAAAGTCAAAGTGGTTGGAAATTATTTTTATTTGGAACTATGTCAAAATTGCCATCTCTGTGTTTGCATCATGAGTTGAGTGGGATATCTAAGGAAAGGAAGATAATGAGAACTAAAAGGAGAAATCTAACAGCTTAATGGTTCAGCAGGTATTGAGAGCTGAAAAACTTTTCTTTAGAGCCTTGAAGAATAAAATAAATTGTTACATTATTTTATTTTCCTACTTTCAACAAACACATACTTCGAATAAAGCTTTGCAGTCATTTTCTGTGTTCCATGGACAGCATTCTTTCAGCTCTGAGTGACCTACAATCTGAGTGTTGAGTGTATTAAGCTTTAAGTCTCTGGTATATACAAAACCCTTGATGGATTCCATTACTTATCCACTGAACTGCAGACTTGTTTCCAGAACAAAGAGACTTGCCTAAGAATTAGGGAAAGGTTCACTTTATGATTAACTGGCATTAATGAAGGATTATTAGCATTTTTGGCCTTGTCTGTCACATCTATTTTTCTTACCACTTTAATGCCAAAATACAAAAAAATCCTTGAAGCCCTACCCACCCTTTATTTTTAAAGCACAACATTTACAAAGGGAAAAACAAGAAGGCGCTTAGGCTTACGTTTGTATGCTAATTATAGGGAGGGAAGCCAGGCCCAATGGTTGCTCTTTGAAGTCATTAGCTCTATATGTAAAGAGCTGAGTTGGTATGTTCAGTTTGCTGATAGCTTCTCACTACAACACAAGAAGGCGTGGCCCAGCGATCCAGCCTATCTTAGTTCCTTTTTTCTTTGGCAGCAATCTTCTGTGTCTAGGGTGCACTAATGCTAAAACTTAGCAGATTTAGTGGTATTTGGAACCTTCACTATCTGCGTGGCAAGCTATGCACGCCATCACTGTGGTCATAGGTTATAACCTATTGGTTTGTCTGAAAAGTTATGCTTCTAATTTTTCCCTCCCAAGCTATGACTTAGGCATAGAGAATCGTGATGCCACCCATGACCAAGTCACCAAGGATGCTGCAGAGGCCATAAAGAAATACAATGTGGGCGTCAAGTGTGCTACCATCACCCCTGATGAGAAGAGGGTTGAGGAATTCAAGTTGAAACAAATGTGGAAGTCACCGAACGGCACCATCCGAAATATTCTGGGTGGCACTGTCTTCAGGGAAGCTATTATCTGCAAAAATATCCCCCGGCTTGTGAGTGGATGGGTGAAACCCATCATCATAGGTCGTCATGCTTATGGGGACCAAGTAAGTCCTTTTGGCACAATTCTATTTTCCATATTATTTTTTCATGACCCAGATACTCCTTTTTATATGCGTTTTATTCCTATCTTTTGGTGTCTGTGCCCATTAAGCAAGGTACAAAATCGAGAAATGCATATATATATGCATAACTGTATCTTTACATGCATTTAAATATAGGTAGATACAGATAAACTTACAGATAGGCACCTATCTCAACACATATGATTTTTTTCAAACGTGTTTTTTTCTTTATCCTTTTATTAAGTTATACCATATGATATTGCCATTTTTATGTTAGTAATTTCATATGGTCCAAACAGATCAGTGGTTTTCAATGCTGGCTACACAATAGGATACCTTATAAGTTTTTTGGTGGTCGGCTTTGGTTTGGTTTTGATTTGCTTTGCTTTTTTTGTTTCTTTGTTTTAATTCCAATGCCTGAATCTCACCCTATACAAGTTGAAATCTGAATTCTGTGGGGTTCAGGCATTTTAAAGCTCCCTAGGTGATTCTAATGTGCAAAGTTGATAACCGTCCAAGATTATGTTACATATGATCACTTTATGCATAAAAGAAAAAACTGACCGAGCAAGTTGAAAGCAGTCTTATGAAAGCATTCCTTCCTGCCTGGAAAGAAAGTATCGTTTCCGTACTTTTGTACTAGTAGGCTCATTGCCAAAATAAGCAGAAAAACTGCCAACTAAAAAACATCCAAGTTCTGTGTTGAAGCTGAGGCTTCAGACTTTCATAGAAAGTAGCTTATGTGTTAAAAGAACCTTAAAAACAGGCATCTCTAGATGCTGAAATCCAGAAGCTTCAAGGCAGCTATCCTTGAAAACGGTGTGGTTAGGATCGGTGGTTCAGTCCTTGAGGGGTCAGTTAACTTTGTTCCACCCTGTGGCTAAAACTATCCCTTCATCTCGTCCAGTCCCTTCACAGAAACCTTCCAGAAGCCCGGGGAAGGGAATCTACGCAGGTGGCAGTGGTGCAAACTCACTAATCCAGGGAACATCACCCTAGATTCTTAACAGTTTATATCACATTTTTTTTCTTTTTTTGGTCCTTTTTGGTTTTTTGTTATTTTGGCATCAGTAATTTGGAAGAATGGCCATTCTGTTTACTAATGTCCAGATTAAAAATTCCAAGCCTGAGG